TATTTTATTGTTTTTGGTAAGTCTCGTAATAAAAAAAGACTAAAAAAAAAGTCATTTTTCGATAACAAGTGATGGGAAAGTAAAGAAGGCGGCAAGTAGCCGCATTTTTCGGAGAACGCTTCGATGCCCTTCAATTATTTTTTTTTCCTTTTTTTTTTCATCAAATAATTTTCACCACTATTTATGATCATTGTAATCTCTTTTCAATTAAAATTTTATTGTAATAAAAAATTTTCGTACTTTCAATTTTGTAAAAATAACCGTTAGATAAATGAAGTCGTATAAACAATAATGTGGAGTCAATAGTACCAAATAAATGTCTTCATGTTATTACATGCTTATGGGTTTGAAATCAATATAAAGAACGAATCAATATTTCCATTGTATCCTAAAAAAAACAGACGAAATATGAGAGAAAATGTCAACATAATATCACCTATATAGATACAATATTAATAATAATAATTTTTAACTTATCTAAAAATGCTTGTTTGTTAATTTAAATATTTTTTATAAATTTTTTATTTTTATAATTTTTCTCATAAATACTCATAATTGATGTTTCCATAAAATTGAGTACTTTCATCGATATTGATATATAAACTCGGTTCTTTCTTAGTTTGTTATAATTAAATATATTTATTTATTTATTGTGTAATTCCTTTCTAATTTAAAATCTAAATTTTTAAATTTGAAAGATTATTTACACGTAAAACTTTACCCTCCATAAAAAAGATTTATATATGTATGAATTTAGTGACTAAGGAACAAATGAGGAAATTGAAGGTATAACCTACTATTTAGTAATAACTTCTATGAAAGGATGATACATATTTTGAACTGAATTTACTTTTTCTTTTAAGAGGGAGAGAAAATTTTGGTGGGATGTTGTATTGGGTTTTCTTATTCTTGTGTTCTCATTAGTTGAAGAGTTGGAACAATCGATCAAACTACGCTATTTAGGTGTCATTGTTGAATAATTACAAAATAAATGGTAAAATAAACGCACGTCATCATTTAAATCTATTTTTTTATTAAAAAAATCGCTAAGAACGAACCAATAAATTTACACAAAATCCTGCTGATAAAATACTCAAAATCAAGCAAAAGTATAATATTGAGATAACTAAATGCCACAAAAATAAAATTGTCCAAGCACAAAATTGCTGAACTTTTTAAAACTAGTAACTATTTTCTTTCTAGTTTTTTAAGAAATTGTTAGAAAATATTTATAATTTTTGAAATAGCTTTTGTATATTTTAAAGAAAACAAGTTTATCTTTAAAAAGAAACACACACAAAAGAAATAATAAAAAAAAAAAACAAATCAGGTTTCTTCCAAATGTCTTATCAAACTTTAAAAAAATAAAGAAAATAATTTTCATTTTTTCCCGTAAAATTTCATCCGAACAAATGATAAAATTGTGCTAAGATAATATTGTTTGGATAAAATTAAAATAAATTTTGATACATAAATATTAAAGACAAATAAAAAGGAATCAATAGAAAAGTTAATTAACTAAATTTAAACCACAAAAATCAAGGATTTACAAAACAACCAAAACATTCTCTTACAAAAAACAAATTCCACATTGTAATAAAAAAATATATTTAACTAAAATGATTAGTTAATTAAAACAAAATAAATTTCAACCGCCAAAAATAAAATAAATAGACGAAAATCTCGGGCACGTGTTTGCAAGAATTCGACCGAAATCTCATTTATCAGCCTTCAACTTTCATGTAATTTCTATTACTATTTATTCCATAATTTAGGGCTCCGTTTCTGGTTTTTATTAACTTATTTTTTAATAAATAACCATAGAATTGTACGGTCTCCACACATATAAATTTAAAAATAATAAAATAATTTTTATTTATGTTTAGAACAAATTAGAACGAGTACAATAACAAATCACTTATTTTTGTTATTTTTAAAATTCCTATTTAATATTGAGAATATAACAAACAAAATAACAAAATAGTTGATTAAGTTTCTTAATAAAACTGAAAACGAGAAGCAATGAAACAAAAAATATTACCAAACGAGTCTATAAATAATATACAATAAAAAATTCAATATTAACTATTTATTGGAATACGTATATTCAAGGGCGGTTTATTAAAAAATGTAGATTTAAAATAAAAACGTAGTAAGTAATACGTCTCCCTAATTTTTTATTCATACTTAGTTCAATCTCTTTCATATAAGAAAATTTGTTTTTGTATTAATAAAATAACATTAATAGGGTCTATCTTTTTCCGAGGGAATGATTACAATTTTATATTAAATATGTATARATGTCTTTCTTGTAAATTCATTATAAAACCCTTTTGAAATTTAAATTTAAAAATTAAAAATAGAATTTGGAATCAACCCTTTTTTTATTTAATCACAATTTGACAGTTATTTTTTTAAATAGATTGCAAAATAAAGAAAATTGCCAGTAAAACAAGTCTGTTTTTTAAATAGAGAACCAAAAACTAATTTTTAAAATACTACTCTTTCCATCTTACAAATTTTCAATATTTTCAGATTAATATAGTTCTAATTCAGTGTAAAGAAAATGGCCTTTGAAAATTAATTATAATGGTATTAAATTTGGATTCCTTTGTCTTTGAAAATGCTACTCCAAAATCGAAATTGAGATCTTTTCATGGAATGTTTCTGTTATGGATGAGAAAATCTCAATTCACTTTATTCATTTCTTAGGTGTAACAGGATTCAACTTTATAAATGAGGAAGTAGGTTAAACCGACAAATCTGTGAATTTGGTGTAATCTCAGAGAAACCAAATTTCTGCTTTCCAATAATTCTGAAATATATGAGACATGGATGGTCTTCTTCATTGCCTACAAAATACAGAAATTTAAAAGTTTCAAGGATCTGATTGGTGATGATTTTTTTTTTTTTTTTTGGTAATTTGTCTTTAAAAATATTTTTATAATCTTAATTAATTTTTTTATATAAAATTAGTTTGCAAAGATATCTTATTAGTTATTTCCAATTTGACTAAGATTTCAAAATTATTTTGAGAGTGAAAGAAAAACTAATTAACTTAATAATTTCTATCTTGCATTTTATGGCAAATTAAATGCTTAAAAATCATTATCAATATCTAATTTAGAATCTTTAAATCCAAATACAATAATAACATCCCAAGTCGTACATGGGTAATATTATTTTAAAAAATATAGTTTTGTAATGTACTTGATATTTAATTTATCTTATTGATGTGAAAAAATCAACATATTGTAAGTGAATGAACACAAAGACTTGTTTTTCTTGGCAATAGTGCAATGAAAACCCATGTGCTAAGGCTCTCCCTTTCCCCATTAAATTAAAATTAATTAGCTTCAAAAATCAAGTTTTGAATCTTGACTTTAACTAGTTGACCTACAAACTGTTTTTTTTCCCTTTTTTGAGTTCCAAAAAGAAAAATTAGGCATTTATCACACATTGCAAAGATGCCATTTTGGAGCAAAAGTAGTGACATAAAATATAGAAAAGAAAGGCAAAATTTTTCCTATATACTTTATTCTTTTCCATTAAACAAAAAAGATTGGTTTTTTTTTTTTTATGATTCTCTTTCGTCCGATCAATTTCCATTTCATACTACGTAGGATAACTAAACAATATTTATCAATTTGAGATTAGTCCTAACTTAAAAATGTCCTAAAAATATTTGATATTTTCTAAATTACACTTACCGAGAAAATTGGGATTCCACTCCGGTCATTTGAAAGTCAATATGAGTTGACCTTTTTGCTCACGAGGGATTATTGGTGGGTGTAAGCAATTGCGGGGTTTGAATTTTATAACCCCTTTTTTGTAAATCAAATTATTTTTAGTATGATATGAACATCACTACCATTGTAGTCCACTTTTCATGATCTATATGGAAAGCTAAAGCATTTGCACTTTTCTCTCTTTTCCTTTTTTTTTTTTATACACTTCAAGCTAAAGAATGTGTGAAAAATGGTGTTAGAAAAATTCCCTTTTAGTGCTTAGGGTATGATTAACCATCAAAATCATGCCTACAATATTCTTTATGGACTTTCTCGACATTCATATGCATTTGTAGAAAAACCCAAAACCAGTTTTAATAAGAGAAGAATCACCTCGGTGTGAAATGTTAGATATCCAATATATGAATTAAATTTATCCAACCCATCAACTTAAGTTTTTGGATTGAGTGGTGGTTTATTGATCTCTAAGATGAAACGACAACATTGTGATTTGTCACTTTGTTTCTATTTGAGATTTGTTTTCCGTCCATGTACGTTGGGGAGAATTTTTCAAGGGAATTACCGTATCTAATGAAAAAGAACTTGAATTTCGAATTTATAATGTAATAACTTATTATTTA